TCTCTCTCTCTCTCTCTTTAGCAGGTGCCTCATTTTCTATTCCACAATCCTACAATATGTATCATAGTCTGGTCTCTTATTCTCTTTTCGTTTTTTGTGTTTCTTTTCTTCTCTCTCAATCTCTGTATCTCTACAGTATCCAAGGCAGATTTACAACCTGAAAGGACCCCGTACAGCTTAACTTAATTAAGACATGCAATTAATTTTGGTCTCCCCTCCCCCTCCCCCCCCTCTCCATCACCCTCGGTCTAAGTTCTCGAGTCGACCTAAACATTATGTGGGATATACATAGTCCGTTGTCCTAATTGCTCGGGGCGTTATGTTTTAGTAATTTGGGTACAGCTCGCATGTTACCATCTCCGTACATTTATCATTAAAATTTTGCGCTAGTGTAACATCGGAAGGGTCCCACGTCGTTAAAAAAAGACTACGCTTCATCGCTTGCTGATCCCCCCCCCCCTTTCCTTTCTAAACAACTACCACAACCATCCCCACCATAATCTCACACATCAGTGGCCTCAGACTCCGAAATGACCCAATGGTGTATGTTGGTTAAACATTTTAATCCGAATGCGGCTCGCCATGAAGTAAAAAGAAAATGTGTATCAAATAACAAGCTCTTTATGTGCGTACGCCATAGTGCATGTATACACAACGGCCCTTGTTCGGTTGATTTAGCGAGTAAACCTCCAGCCTCCAACTCCACAAAAATCTATCTTCGTACAGACCGAGTCTAGAGGGTGGAGAGATCCAAAACTCGCCGAAAAATATTTTTTTTTCAAAATATTCATTTGGAAATTTGGGTAAGAGTAAACGTTAGCCCTTCAGTTGGAACTCAATATAATATAACCTATTAACACACCCGGGGTCTCCAATAGTGTCCATACACTATAGGACCAAATGGGGGGCTGTCGTGACGTCATGGGCTAAAGATACTTTTCTCTTATTTTTAAACGGAATACGCTTATGTGTTCTGCACACAAATGTCTCTTTGTTATACTCTACAGGTACATACGCAGAGACGTCAATGAGAAACAAACATTTGTTAAGAATGTCTGATTTCAGAAACCCAAATATATTATGGGGGGCTCTCGTGGCCTAGAGGTTAAGGTGTTGGCCTCTCATTCAAAGGTC